TGCTGGCACAGCGTAATTTCTGAGACGTGTACAACCATAATTCGTTCTTCATTTTCTTGTTTGCTGGTTGTACTTAATCATGTTTGATAAAAAATTGTAACCCATTTGTAATTAAATAATTCTTGTATTATGTTTCAAATAATATTTAAAATTTACACATTTTAAGCATTTTTTGTTCTTTAATTATTATTTAATTAGCTATCTTGTTTTAATCAAGTAAGAAACGGTATCATCAGAAGCTACAGAGCTGATGATTTTTTTATAGACGAAACGTAGTAAAATGGTAAAGTGTAACATATCGTTGTATTTAGCTATACAAAAGCTATACAAAATTACAGTTAGAATTCCAGGTCCGTATTTAAAAAAATAAGTGGAAGGTGGCCCTGGAAATACGAAACGTCGTAATAAAAATTTTGACGTGACAGATTATAAGGAACTTGATTTATAACAAAAACTTCGTATAATTTTTTTGTATCTTTTATAATAACAACGCACGACTTAAAAACAAAAGTGAGGTTTTTCGGATTTTATCGAATATATCCGGAACCGGTCAGAAAATCTGGAACTTCTATGGACCATTGTATTATCCGTCAAAATACGAAACTTCTTCTCCATTTAACCGACAATGTATATCTTAGGGTTTACGAGATATCTGTATACGCAAACTAAATCCGGTCCACCCTGTATAGTATAAATATAGCATATATTTTACACTCAATATTCTGTACCTCAATATTGTATACTTACTATATCAAATGACAAATAAATATCGATGCTAATGGTGCTGTTTTAGTTTGTTCCTCATATTTTATAAAAATCAGTGGTTATATTGTGCTTTAAAATTTCGTTGTTTTTTCCAGTGAATAAATATTAATTACACTATCGGTGAAAGTAGAATCAAAATAATAATTCGTGGTCCATATAAATAAAACTTAGATATTTAAATCAAATCTAACTGATTTATCTGTCGATGGAATAAAAATAAAAAGTGAAAAAACTCCCAATAAAAACAGTGTGCTGATAAAGGTAATTACTTAGAATTTATTTCTATAGTCCAGGAGAAAACGAATAAAATTGCGGCTCTGAATCTAATAGTCTGAGACTAATTGTTGAAAATGGTAAACATCTGTTCTTGCTGCAAGGAAACCCTTGCTGAAAAATTTGTCGTTTGTGACAGTTGTCACGTAGCTATGCACATGACAGAAACTTGCACAGGTTTATGTGCGTCTGAACTTCGAGCTGTTGTTATACAAAAAAGATCTCTAGTATTCTTCTGCAGTGATTGTCGGTTATGTTTTATGAGTGTGCCCAAACTTCTGCGTAAAATGGAGACTCTCAAATCTGAAGTCACATCTTTGAAACAAGACATCTCGAGACTTAAGGAAAATGTGAGCACGCACGCTTTCACGATGGATGAAGTCGTAAATGAAATGAATGAACGTCACAGAAGAGAAAAAAACTTGCTTATCTTCAATCTTCCTGAACTATCCAATACCCATGATGATGTCGAGCAAGTAAAATCTATTCTAACAAATGCCGATAACTCTATTAATATTAATGATACGAAAATCTTTCGTTTTGGCAAGAATAACAAAAATGGGCATCGTCCTCTCAAAGTAATTTTATTTTCAACTAGAAATGTTCATTTGATACTCAAAAATAAACAAAACATTACTAGAAATAAGAAATTGTTCATTCATTTGGATCAAACTCCTCATCAGAGACAACTCCTAGAATCAGTAAGAACTGAACTCTCTGTTCGACAACATTCAGGTGAGCAGGATTTAACAATTAAATATGTTAATAATGTACCCAAGATCGTCCAAAAAATCCATTAAAGAATACTGACCTGGGCAAGCTCAAGCTCTCTGTATACTACCAAAATGTTAGAGGACTCCGAACCAAATTAACTGAATTAAGTCTAAATACCTCAAATAGTTCTTATGACATTATCATTCTAACAGAAACTTGGCTTACTGCCGGCTTTAATGATGCTGAACTTGGCCTTGCTAACTATAATGTGTACAGACAAGATCGCACACAGCAATCCAGTAGATATGAAAGAGGGGGAGGTGTACTAATAGCTACGAAGAAAAAACTTTCTACCAGTCTTATTCAGTCTAACGCATCAGTTGAACAGCTGTTTGTCCACATAAATAATAAATGTATCCTGGGTGCACTATATATCCCTCCGAAGTCACCTGTTGCTAATTATCAAACCCATTTTGATCAGATTACACACTTAAGCGAACAATATCCAAACTCCAAGTTCCATCTATTTGGTGATTATAATCTTCCGTCTGCAGTTTGGGAAGTGGAAGATTATGGTTCCTCAGCAACTGTACAGCACAACACATCATTTGCGGAAGCTGAAGCTACTGAAGTTGTCTCAAATATATGTGCCTTACATAACCTCTTTCAATTCTTGATCTAGTCCTTTCACCTGATGAACTCACAGTTTCCAATGCTGTAGACATTTTAATACCACCTGACTCTTATCACCCCCTACTTGTAACTACTTTGCAGCTTTATGTTGATAAAAACATACCCTCTGGAACAGAATACTACTATGATTTTCGTAATGCAGATTTCTCAGCTATACGCCAGTGTCTGGGCGCAATTGAGTGGGATGGCCTTCTTCATGGTAAAGAACTTTCCGATATGGTGTGCATATTCTACGATGTAATGTTTTCAGTGATAGAATAATTTGTTCCACTGAAAAAAATCGGTAAAAGTTCATTTCCTTGTTGGTATTCTCCGCAGCTTAGACAGTTGTTACGCGATAAAAAGTTAGCCCATAAAACTTATAAATGTACTAAGTCTCCTGAACATTACAATTATTTCAGTCAACTTATAGCTCAATGCAAAATGTTATCAAAAGAGTGTTATGCCAGTTATGTAAGCCGTACTGAGAATTCACTTGTAAAAAATGTTAACGCGTTCTGGAAATTTGTAAAAAATAAGAGAGAAAATAATTCTTTACCTGACTCGATGACATTAAACGATATAGTGGCTTCCTGCGGTAATGACATTGTCAATCTATTTGCTAGTCACTTTTCTTCTGTATACACGAACCAAACGCTAAATTTAAATGGAAGTGAAATCCAATCTGCAACATGTGTATCTTCTTATTTTATCCAAATTTCCAAGATCTATGTTAAGCTGTCAACACTTGACACTAATAAAGGGTCAGGTCCCGATGGAATTCCACCCATTTTTCTCAAAAAATTTAATTTTGCATTATCTAGGCCACTTTTTCATATCTTTAACAAATCACTGAGCACAGGTGAATTTCCTGACTTTTGGAAACTCTCTTATGTTACTCCCATTTACAAATCGGGTAACAAATCTAATGTAATAAATTATCGCCCCATTTCCATCCTAAGCACAATCCCAAAAATCTTTGAAAGTATAATAACTGATTTTCTAACTCACGACTGCTCCAATATCTTAAATTCCCAACAATTTGGTTTTTCGCCGGGCAAATCTGCTGAACTAAGCTTATTAACATATGCTAACTTTCTGTCTGAAGCTTTGGAGAAGGGTCTACAGGTAGATTCTGTATATACAGACTTTTCCAGACAAGGTGAACCATGATCTTCTCGTTCATAAGCTAAATTTATATGGTATTGATGGGATTGTCTTACAATGGCTCGGTAGTTATCTAACAAATAGGACTCAACAGGTTCGAGTAAATCATCATTATTCCCAAATTTTCCCAGTTACTTCGGGTGTTCCTCAAGGGTCTCACTTAGGACCGCTACTATTCAACCTGTTTATTAATGACATCATAACTTGCTTTCCTAACACTAAAGCCCTATTGTTTGCAGATGACTTGAAATGCTTCAAGATCATTCATGACTATGCCGACACTCAGATTTTGCAGTTGGATTTAAATAAACTAGAAAGTTGGTGCTCTAGTAATGGCATGGATCTAAATACTAACAAATGTCACATTATCCGATTTTGTCGCAGCCATAATTTAATAACTTATAATTATAGTTTATTTCAACATGTTTTGGACTCTGTCGATCAAATTAAGGATCTAGGGATCACCTTTGACTCTTCCATGAGCTTTAATGGCCATATCACTGCTACAGTTCAAAAATCAATGAAAATGCTGGGCTTTGTCAAGAGGACAACTCAAGACTTCACTAATATAAACACAATTAAAATGCTATACTTCTCTTTAGTTAGGACACAACTTGATTATTGCTCCTCAGTCTGGTTCCCACACTACTTAATTCATAAAAGTAAACTGGATGGAGTTCAAAATAATTTTCTTAGATACATAGCATTCAAGTTTAACATGTATTACAATTATGCGGAATTGCAACAATATTTAAACATACCTTCTCTGGAAGTTTCTTACCATACTGTCCAATATTATCAATGGCAGGTGTAATTGCCCCGACCTCCTTTCCAGAATTAATCTTTTTGGGCCGTCACGTACTACTAGACAAATTCAAACATTCCATGTACCTTTTCACCGTTACAATTATGCGTTTAATACTTTTATTCCTAGAACACTTAGACTAGCTAACTCTCTTCATGATATTCGACTTTTTAACAGTTCTGTTCAAGGATTTAAGAACCGCTTACTTACATTGAATATTTGAACGGCTTAAGCAATTCCATAGTTTTCATTTAACACATTGTAATTTATTTTCTGTTCTGTACATTAATGTCCACTGTTTTATCTTACCATTTTATTCTATATTTTATTTAATTTTTATGATATCACTATTCTATTTTATTGTATTTTTTATTTTATATTGTATTTTATTGTATGTAAACTGAATTGGGCTTTGCCCGTAAATAAATAAAAAAATAAATAAAAGACGTTTTGTGTATGACTGAAGTAAAAGGTGTTGCTGAGTAAATATTTATGGAAAATTTTAAGTTAAATTAAATCAGTGCTACAATTATTTAACCTGTTCCATAAAACTCTTCTATATCATATGTTCCAAAACTGGTGAATAATTAGTATGAAAGATGTAAATAAAACACCATTTTATTTAAATAGTCTCATTATAATATTGTAATACATATAAATTAATTATAAAAATTATTGTTTGACACTTGATAAAAATGTTGTAATTATAGAATATTTCGTTTCTGATAATTAGTTTCTTACATTGGTATGTATCCAATCCAGATAGTATCGTACATCAGTATAAGCACTTGGAAAGGAAATGTTACCGCAGATAAAAGAGCTGAAAGACAGTATACCTTCTAAATACCACTTTCGCGATCCCCTTCTCTGCGTTAGTGGGCCACCCGTGCAGGCTGAAAATAAAGAAAAGTTTACATTTAACAATTCTAACTTTTCAAATCAGGTCAGATATTCTCAATAAACTAGTGGTCTTACTTGCACACAATGAATTGTTCGCTCCTTGGGCACAAATATTGCTTTCAAGCACAGAAGCATTTCGTTTTTTGTAAAATTCTATGCAGTCTTCTAATGGTACAATATAAAATTCTGCAAGAATTTTATCATCTGAATTACGGTAATTGGAAAACCATCCACTTTCGATTACGAGTTCTCCCACTTTGAGCGGTGCCTCTTCAGGTTTTGGAAGACAGATCGGTTGAACTGTGTCTAAAAAATACGATAATATAAAGATTAAATTATTTAAATTATAAAAATATTCACGACAACTATAATTAGTAAAGAGTGTTGAAATGTTTCAAACAATATGAAGCAGATAGCAGATTGGTAGTGTACGTTGGGATAGTCGATATTTAAACTGAAAGAAATCAAAACTGTAAATAATTTAAAGTATTCAACATATATGAGGTCAGCAGTCGAATAATCTAAATTAGGATGATATACTTATAAAAAATTACCATCATAACATCATCTTTACATCTGTTGCATTACAGACTTCAATTAAAAACGTTTATCTCCCACTGTATTAGATTTTTATTCAGTTGTCAGTAATATAATCTCTTTATATCTGTCCCTAAATGTATTTTAATTTCTATAACATTCTAAAAATATTTGTTATCGTCTTCTTTTCTACCACATGACCTACCAAAACAATTTTAATTCTGTAATTTTCTTTGCGGTTTCCGTTACTTAAAATCTATGTCACCGAAAAAACGTCATACCTGTGATAACAGATAGCAAAACGTTTTCAAGAAATTCTGATAGAAATTTTCAAATATCTACTGAAAAAAAAAAAAATAAGACTGTGAAATAAGAGGTAATATCCATGAGAAACTTTAACTACACCAAACCACAATCATTATTAATTCAACTTATTTTCTACTGGGGTAACACCTAGATTTATTTAACAATTTACATGCCTTAATCACAAAGCACACACATGTTTTCTCATTGAAGACTACAATATTACCGTGTAGGTATTATAAATGGCACATCTTTTTTTAATTTTTCTAATATAACCAAATCAAGATCCCAATCTAACAACATCCTACTGTCTTATATCCTTATTGTGCTACTTAACAAAAACTTATGCACGCATAAGGCTACATTGGCCTCTTGAACACTTTTCCAAAATATCGGAAACCGAGTATGAATTTCTAAAACGAATATGAACAGTTGAAGCAGCCTACCACCTGGCAATATACATTCAATGTTTTCTTTCTAATAATTCCCATTTAGCTTGTTTATTTATTGATCTAAAACGCGCGTATGAAGCTGTTAACTTGATTATTTTGGAGAAGAAGATTATTACATTAGAAATAGGAAAGAAAGTATTATTAAACTCCTAAAATAAATATATAAATATGTACAGATTTGATGCGAATTGAAAAAAGTAGTGTCTCCGGATAAAATTTGACCATGATCGAAAAATTGTGGTAGAAAAAAATTTGGTTGTCAATTGTTTCTTTTGCATTATAAAGGTCATTAAATTCAATACGATTTTCATACAAAACTGATTATATCCTGCAAAATACCCTGTATAAACCAATAATAATTTATATTTTAAAAATGGGAAAAGCGAGGATAGTTCAAATATAAAATAAAATACAGGGTGATCCATTAAAAAGAACATAAGTTGGTTCCTGAGAGAAGTTATTAAACGCGCTGTATATTCAAAAATAATTTTAAAATATGTAGTTTAACGGTGTCTATCGTTCTATAATAATGGCGGAGATATTGAACTTTTTCACACTAATGGATCACCCTGTATATAAACTTACATTAATAAAATTCTTCAATCTATTCTGAGTTGCTTCTCCAACCGTCTTTACGTTTACATATCCCCCAAATACCACCAATGCAGTTCAATATAACAAAACGATTTTATTTGGTTATAATAAAACAAATATTTGTTACTACAATATTTACCAGAATAATGTATTTCTCTGTCCAATCTTATTAGACCAATGTTGTTAGGTATATGATGCTCTTCTTCTATATAATAGTCTCTGTGTGTGATTATTTCTTCGGGTCCCACATCAATGTATTCAGTTTTACAGGCTATGTAATTATTTTGACAATTATGATCACCCAATCTGATTTTGACTCTAAAACATTAAAGGATAATAACGCATACATTAAATATTTTGTTATTGATAATTTAAAATAAGATTTGGTGATCCAGTTGACTAGTCTTTAATACATGTGCTCATTTTTTTTATAAAATCTGACAATAAAAATCTGCCTTCAAGGAAGAGATGGCTATCGTTATTATTCAGTGTGACAAATTTTACTGCATTACGTGTTTTTGTAATGTTCATAGCTGTAATATATAAGCAACCATTTTCTTATTAGAATTTCATTTTTTAATTTTTTAAATTTTACTTATCAAAAAATAAAATTAAAAACGTCTTTTAGGTTTTGTTGTTTTTGTAATGACTTTATAATAATCTACACAAAATAAATTTCATACAGAATAATTAGTTGTTTTACTCGACATAGGTCCGAAAAAACACGGGCTAAGTGCATAAAATAGTTCCCAAGGCCACCAAAAAACATACCCCATAAGCTTATACCGCTACGGAAAAGCGGTGTTGTACCACACACGCCGATATTTTATCAAAGCTTAAGATGCAACGATGCTTCTCACGGCCTAGGTAAATTAAAGGTCTGTGAAGCACACGTGCTTCTCATGGCAGTCAACGTAATAATGCTATTTGCTTTAAAATTTTACCTACAGATAGCATAAGACCCAATGAGTTGGATAGTCATTTAAAATCTCTGAACAAAGAATACATCGACAAGAATCTTGAATTTGTTGCAGAGAACTTTAGATTTTTCGGGAAACAAAAGTCAAATTTCATCATAGCTCTCATATTAAAAAAAAAAGCTTTATTTTAAAAAATTATCTACGCTAAACAACCTAAAAATATTTCTCTATCAAATAATATCATTTGTCATAGTAGTTTGCGTTACAAGCCCTAGTACCTAGATCTTTACATGCGAGCACGGTCGTTAATGTGTGAGCGCTAGAGAGGACGTTATATGACCGTGCGAGCATGTAGAGATCAGGCAACGGGCGTGTATCGTACGTTTTATAATATACTTCAATTACAACCTTAAATCAACTACAATTTTGGAATGTGATTTAAAATAATGAAGTTCAGTTAAAACTGACAATTTCATAACTGTTGTTAAAATTTTTACCGGGCAAGCTCGTTATGACTCTCTTAACAAGCATATACAGCCGTTGGTTACCACGGTATAATATCGCAGTATATCATAAGAGAATGAACGATATATCTGCGGATATTCACCAAGAGATTGATTATTTGTTAGTTAGAAAAATCATTTTCCTTCTAGTAAATTGTACTCGTACATTTCCAACCATATAATAAATTTTTATCAAACTATGTTAATGTTTGATTATCGAATATGAGAACTACTTACATATTTCCAAACCGTTTAAATGTTGTACACATACCAGTTGTCACAACATATCTCGAATTTATTAAAGCTCCTTCGCATGGAAAAAGTCCTTTAGTTTGTTCGAACTGAATTCTGGCTACCCAAGGAAACTCTCCAATAAATGCAGATCGGTATCCTCTTACTTCATTGGCATAAACCTAAAAATTTAATATCATCACCTTCATCATCGTCAACATCATCATCATCATTATCATCATCATCATCATCATCATGATCATTATCATCATTATTACCATGATGGTCATTCTGTTTTCAACTGAAAAATTTCCGTGCAGTTGCTAGAGTTCTTTTTTCTATCTATGCAGGTATGATCGAGGACATCTGGATAGCCCAAGATCTAATGACGAATTTGGGGAAGGTGTTTTGGGCAATTTTAAATTTTAAATAACAGTAAGTATCTAGTATCTATGTTACTTAATCTAAAATTATGTAAGACATTCGTAAAAAATTAATTTAGCCTTTATAGAATCTATAAATCTAAATACCAGACTATTTTAAAGATTTTGAAGACATATTTGTCTTCATATTAAAAACGCTTAAACTTAGGTATAGGATATGATACATAAAATCTGACTAGAATCTTGATTAGAATCTAAAAGTGTAATAATATATAGAATGTCGTATATAAAATAAGCGGCTTAAGCTCTATTTCTGGTATAACCGAAAGTACTTGATAGATGAATAAATTTTATCTGCATATGCCTGTAACCTACCGCACCCAGATACCTTAATAATTTATTAATTCCATTCAATAAATATAAAATTCCATTTTTATTAAATTCAAAATCCTTCATTTAACGAAAAATCTCCCAGATAATTAAATCTTATTTGCGACACCTAATAAATATTATCTCTAACCACGTCCGTAAAATATCCAAATTTCGTGCAGGTGGCTAAGAACCTAGATCATAAAATATATTTTTTTTCACGAAGTAATCACCATTAAATCACTTAACTAGCTTATTTTTCTAGTTTCAATGTTAAGACCGATTTCGACAATATTTAGATACACAAAGCTCTCAAGGTACATAATAATAAATAAGCCACCCCCTTTGCGCCCACATTCGTATTTTCCACGGGAACTAAAATACAGAGACGTCACAGAAATCTATTAAACTTAGTATAAAAAGACTGACCAAAAGGAGCTCGGATTCATTTAATTTTTATCATTTGATGTACAAGCATACATTTTATTATTTTACATTCAAGCAATCACTTTATTGTCTGTATCCAGTTATATAGTCTGTACCTTTCCTAAACGCTCTTTCTAAACGACGTCTATCCCACAATACCTCTTATTTCCCAAAGGTGTCAACGTCTCGACGCCCAACGTCTCGCCGTCCTACTTCCCTACCTTTCGACGTCCCAACGATATCACGTCTAACACCACTTAGTATTTCACACCATTATATTCATCCCGACGCCCAACGTCTTGACGCTCGATGTCCAGACGCTCTACTTTTATATCTTTCTACGTCTCGAACGTTGTCACATTCCGCACCATTTAAGTCTTTCCTACGTTAGATTTATTTTGACGCCCAACGCCCTATCACTCTACTTCTCGACGCTTGCCGTCCCTAAATATTTCCATCGTAATATCCTTGTCGAAACGTTTCGTCGCGTAGCACCACCTAAGTATTTCTTGCCATATATCTGACCCGACACAGTCACGAAATAAATACCTTCCTCCCCGCCACGATGCTAGACGTCTCGACGCAAGGCGACGCTCAACGCTGCGACGTACATAAGTCTAGTTTAGACGACCCAAATGTCTGTAATTTCAATGATAAGTTAAACGGGTTTATGTAACTGTCTTTGAGATGCCACCAGGATCTTGTTTAAACGTAGAGCCTGACATTTGCTTTAAAATATTATCAATGTATTGTAGGAATATACAGGGATGTGCAATCTTGGATAAATTGTACAAATCAAGATGGTAAAATTTAATAGTAAGTTAATCAACTGGTGAATACACTGTTCGTTAACACGCTAAGCAACCCGTTCTACTAGGTTTGAAACAAAGTATATAATGTGAAATCAACATAGTAAAGTAATCAACTGGCAAATTGGCGCTGTTTGTTACTTCCGTTGGTCATCAACTCTATACTCATCGAAATATTTACGTAAGAGGGTGCAACCTGTGTATATCTAAAATAGAATCAAATCAACATCAACACGGTAGTTAATCAACTGGTGAATTGACGCTGTTCGTTAACTCCGTAGTACCATTTGTAATATACGTTGCAAGTTATTGAATTAGATTTAAAGTATGAAAAAATAAAAGGGTTTAAATATAATTTTGTATGGTTTTATTTATCAATGTGCACCAAAATTTGCATCGAATCCTGGTTTACCTTAATTAACACTATTACAACGTGGGTATATAATTTATCAATTAATTAACTAGACGATCACTTTTACTACTAGAATAAAAAGGCCAAACACAGTAAATATAAAATTTAAAGTAAAACTTGTGAGGTAAATAATAACATTTCAGTGAGTAAAATAACGAACAAAAAAAGAGGGTGCCGGGGGTGGGCTGTTACAGGCCCTATTCATATAGGTCTAGATTAAACTTTAGGTATCCTAAAATGTTTGCAACAAATTTATTAATAATCTGATTACAATATGGACGATGTATAATTTTTCTACGACCCACTAACGAAAATTTATAAAGTTAAAAAATATAATTTAGAGATTAAAATAAAAAAAATTGTTTTCAAAATTATTTACGACTTACTAAGTCATAAAATATAATGAACTGAAAAAAAAAAAGAAAAATTTGTTTATTTGGTAGTTCATCGTGGATTTGAATGCCGATCCTTCGCATGACAAGTTAGTTCTCTACATAACTTGTTAACTAGGCCTAATTATTTAACACTAGCTAAATTATTGGTTTTATTATTATTTATCGATTGTTAGCAAGAATCACTTATTTTAATAAAATTCAATTTAATATTAATATCAAAAAGATATACTGACTATTAATTTAAAAGAATTGTCTCTTATTATTTTAAAATTAATTAAAAATAATAGTAGGTCCCTTGCACTGTATGATTTGTAAATAAAGAGTAATAAAGTAATTATTTTTATCTACTCCTATTAATTTATATTAATTATTCAACTGCTTTTGAACAATTAAGTAGTATCAATAAACAAATGGCATGAGTTTTAATAGTTAATTCTGAGCTCCTACGACAATTCGGTATGTAAATAGTGTGCGCAGTAAATACTTGGAAATTTTAAAGCCGATAAAAACGTTCTATTGGCGTAAATTGTTAAAAAGATTTTTTAACAACTGGAAAGGAATAAATATTTAAAATTATTAAATTGCCAATGTCTCTCAGTAGGCGGAAAAGTCAATTATTATCATTGAGGGGAGTAATGGCATTTGATATTTTAACAAGACATTTTTGACGTTTTCAAATCAATTTCAAATAATAGTGCTAAAAAAAATTAATTTAGATAGTGAAGTTATTATGCAAACCTCCAGAAATAAGAGAAGTAGGTAATAATGCAATACAGAATTTATTACCGGCAAAATTAAAAAACAAGCAAAAAAGTGTATACAAAATTTTCAAGATTGGTGTAGCAATAAGAACGTTAACTCGTTTACAAAAAAATGTATTTTAGTATTTGTTGTTATAATTGTAGTTAAAGTATAGTATTCAACTTGCGGTAATGGTCATAACTCACTTGATGAATTACAGCACTCGCCTGCGGCTCGTGTTGCAAACTTCATCTGCATGAGTTATGACCTGCATTACCGCTCGTTAAATAATATACCATTAATGATGAAAGACTTACTAAATGCAGAAACATTCTAAAAATTCGTCAATAAAACTTCTTGTTTACTAAGGTGATTCTACCATCAGATGTGATTACGAGTGAAGGATACTACACACAATATTATAGACATTTTTCAGCTTTAAAAAAACAATAATACAGCAAATACATCGACAATAATACTTTCTGAACCTTTCACATCTTCAGATGTTTTTGGTAGATATCTATAAATATTAATCAATTAATTTTCTATAAAAAAATTAAAATACCTAATAGCTATTTATAAAAAATGCCTTATTTTATGTAACGAGTGAATATTTACGAAACGAGCAGAGCGAGGTCCCGCAACATGAACGAGTTACATAGAACGTCATTTTGTAACTTGTTTTTTATTTAATTTTGACTAGATTATTTATAAAATTGTGTCTTGAAAAATTACTGACATCTAGGTAGCCAATATTATTATTTTCTTGTATTGTTAATTGCAAATAAATACCTTAATAGTTCTATTGGCAATTAGAGAGCAATATTAATTTATTCTCAACGACTTGTTGTAGTGTACTTATACTGTTTATTAAAGTTGTATAGATTTTAAGAAACTAGGTTATATTGTCGTTCTAATTATTTTGTGCTGATTTAGAATGCAAAATAAGGACCAAACCAACATTATTACTAGGTTGTTAGTTTACCAGTTTCTTTTTTTTATGAATCGGTTTGCCTTGTTTGGTATTAATTGTTAATGATATTGTATATTATTGGTTTTAAAACCGAAAACAGGAATGTTTTATTTTTATTTTCTATTCGCAGCTCGTGATAATGAATTTTTATAAACCCGTTTTACAATGTTCAACATTATACAACTGATTGCGTAAAGTAGACCATTTTGATACTTGCTGCGATTACAGAAAATGTCACTTTATATGTCAAAATTAGAAAAAGTACATTTTACTCTTCAAATTACCTAAAATACCTTTCACAAATTCGTCTTCACCTCTTGGGCTACATTTGCGATACCGAGTGAATCAATCTGTGTATACAGGGTGGATCACTAGGAACTCCTTTATTCGATGTCTAAGAAACTGGACGTGGGAAAAATTTTAAACTTTGAGAACTTACTGGATGTATTAGGGCCTATTTAGCCAAATTACACTCAGTTACACCGGAACTAGACTTTAAATCGCTTATTTTAAATGCGACACCCTACATATCATTACATTTTTGAACTCTACTCAAGATGAGTGTAATGTATTGATTAACAGATAATCATCTAATTACTTTAGGATAAAAGATGATTAATAGATAATAAACGGGCGGCACGAGTTCCCGTCAGTATAACACTATTTACCTGCGT